TATATATGGGAAAAATGTATTATATACTTTGTCAGCATAGTCATTGCAACAGAGTCAATCTAGTCACTTGAAATTAATTAATTACATCAAACCACTGACAATATTCTAGTATTATTCAAAATTATCAATATCATCTAGTACAGAGTGTGCCTGACACCTATTGTATTTTCAGTGCCTGTGGAGGGGTTTGTTCCTAATAGCACATATGAAGAACCTACTGTCACTAGTGTTACCTAGCGGTTTTTACAGAGGATCCAGTATTAGCCATGAGGGGTTCAGTATTTGCATTGTGACTAACTTAATAAATCTTTTGGTGAGGAAGGAACTAAATTATATGCACTACTATATCTGTCAAATTCTCAGCTTAATTGCTGCATGTTTATAATTTCGGGTAGCTGTAGGTGCTCGTTTAATGACTCATCCTACGTGTTAAACTCAGTCCAAAAGCAGAACAATAGAGTCTGTGTCTCAGGTCCAAAGAGGGGAATGAAGAAAGGGAAGATGAAGCTACTTCCTTTGCCTTTTCACCTTTCTGCTGTCTCCCAATTTCCTTAAAGCCCATCTTTCTATGGCAAGAGATACTTGATAGTTTGCTGTCCTGCACTGCGTACCCTTGTTGAATTGAGTTTCCAAGCTCATTTTGTGTGGGAAATAGATTACCCATGTCTGATTACCCCTTGCTAGGCAAAGAGAAAAGGCAAATTTGATTTGTTCATTCCTGACTGTCTTTGGCAGGAACAGGAGTGTCCTTCAGATACTAAAAGACAAGATACAGTGGAAAGCTCTTCTATAGATGTAATTGGGTTTGAGGAAGGCCTGTGTAGGAGGATGAGATTGCAGCTATGAAAGAGACAATGAGTGCAAACAGAGGGCAAACTGTGAAAAGTTAATTGAGTAGGGAGGCTTAGGAGTAGAGAGGGAGATGAGTATAGAGGATGTACACTTGCAGTAGAGGGCTAGAAAAATGGAAGATTAATAGTCTGTGAGAGGTCTTTTCAGGTAAAGAAGAATAAGTGCATGGGGAAAGGAGAGGTAAGAGTGGTCTGGGTAAAGCAATAGCTATCTTGCAAAGAACTGAAATGCAAATTAAGAGAGAACTGGGTGGGGGGAGAGGGAGACGGAAAAGGAGAATTCTTTCAAATATGAGAAGTACAGAAGAAGTTGATGTAAAGAAGAGGGGTAACCCACATCAAGTTTTCAGACTGCTCAGGTGGTAGATGTCACTGCAGAATTCTTCTGTGCTGCATGTATATGTATATTATATAATATTACGGATATCAGTTACGCTGCTGAGACTGACAGGTAAGGAGAATGGGTACTGAAAAAGGCTAGTTTTTCCTCCTATGCCCTCTTCATCAGAGGTCAGAATAATCTCTTCACTGATGTTAAGCCTGAAGTTATGTGTGATTTTCATGAAGACTCAAGGTGGTGCTTTGAAAGCAATCAGTCAGCTGTACCTTGTCTGCCTGTTCCTGCCCTTCTGCCAGTACCTGATCACTTGCATGGTGAAGCAGATAAAGGAATTGATCCAGATGAACACCAGCCTGGCAAGAAAGTGGTATCTAAACCCTGTGTTCTGAGTTTATTGAGAGGCACAAGTTGCCTGCCACACATTCTGATTTCTTCTTTATGTTGAATTTTAGGATGCTCACCGGGGAATTTTCATCCAGCAACTGCGGCACACACAGAATCCACAGCCCCGGATCAAACTGAAGTTGTTTGGACACTCAGGTGCTGGGAAAACAACCCTTGTGGAATCTCTCAAGTGTGGCCTGATACGAAGCTTTTTCCGAAGACGAAGGCCTAGGCTCTCCTCCACAAACTCAACCAGATTCCCCCCATCTCCTTTGTCATCCAAACCTTCAGGTATGCCTTTGAAGCTGTAATGTTTGAATGAGAAAACGTTTCCTCTTGGTCTGTGTAGCTCTCAAGGAAGAGCTGTTGGCTGCACTGCAAAAGACAGGACACACAGATCGTGTAAGAAACCAAAGCAAAAACCAGGGAGGGTATTGACTTCTCTGTACACTGGCTTGTACCTGCAATAAGAGCAAAGAGAAGCAGCAGGTGTTGAGGGTGCAGGAGTAGTTAAGGTTTTGCTTGCTTACATGAACTTAGAGAATGGAGGACAGGATTTGTGAACACTGGCATTTCTTTTTCACAAAATGCCCTAGGCTATGAACGCCAGTGACATGATGGCGTGTCACCATCATGGTTTTGGGGATTATGTTTTGTCAGCCTTTTTGTTTGAGTAGCTTCAATAAACTCTCTGCAGAGTTGAAACAGTTGCTGCATCTTTTTGTGATCCTTAAGTAATAACAGAGCAGTCAGACTGCCTCTGATGCCTTGGAGTGCTCTTCTGTAAGGTACAGGAGTGGATTAGCCCAGTTAGAGGTGTCTAAAATTGTCTCCAAACAAGGTAGAAATAGAGGTCTTCTAAACTGAAATAAATGTGTGCACATGATAGGGAAAACTTTGCCCATGTAGCACCACTTGGACTGTGTGAAGTCGGAAGAG